TTGCAGGAGATGGCGTACCAGGTGCCTCCACCATGCGTGGGGTTGTAGGACTTGACCAACCCATCTTCGCACTGACATCATCAAAGGTCGGGGCATTAGGGGCCGGAGGAACGGCACCCCTGGTGGTAGGGGCCGGAGGATCGGCACCCCTGGTGGTAGCGGCCGGAGGATCGGCACCCCTGGTGGTAGGGGCCGGAGGATCGGCACCCGTTGTGGTAGGGGCCGGAGGATCGGCATCACTGGTAGGGGCCGGAGCTGGCGTTGCTGCCTTCGGCTTGATCAGTTTTGCAAGCTCATCCTTGCAGAACTGCTTGCAACCCTCATCCCCAGTAGCCATAATGTCCTGCAAGAGCTGTAGCTTTTGCAACTTTGTCGCGTTCATTGGCAAAGCCTGGTATTTTTTTGCTGCCTGTGTTGCCATGTCGACCTGACAGTTGTGGATTTAGGCTTTGGGGTTTAGGGTTGTATAAAATTTAGGGAGTTAAGGCTTCGGGTTTAATGTTGAGGTTCTAGGTTATGGGGTTTATACTTATGGTTTAGGGGTTAAGGTTTCTTAGTTTCTTACAAGTCGCACGGCCTCCACCTTGGCTTTATCAGCGTCTTCCTTTTCCTTGGCCTTGTCCTTGGCCGATCTCATATGTTCGGCCTCCTCCTTGTCCTTGGCCAATCTTGCCAGCCTGAACTGTTCCCTTTCCTTGGCCAACCTGGCATTCTCAGCTTCCTCCCTTTCCTTGGCCATCCTGGCTTTCTCCGCTTCCTCCCTTTCCTTGGCCAGCTTGGCTTCCTCCATTTCCTTGGCCATCCTGGCTTTCTCAGTTTCCTCCCTTTCCTTGGCCAGCTTGGCTTCCTCCATTTCCTTCGCCAGTCTGATGGCTTTCTCGGCTTCCTCCCTTTCCTTGGCCATCCTGGCTTTCTCAGCTTCCTCCCTTTCCTTGGCCAGCTTGGCTTCCTCCATTTCCTTGGCCATCCTGACTTTCTCAGCTTCCTCCCTTTCCTTGGCCAGCTTGGCTTCCTCCATTTCCTTGGCCATCCTGACTTTCTCAGCTTCCTCCCTTTCCTTGGCCAGTTTGGCTTCCTCCATTTCCTTGGCCATCCTGGCTTTCTCAGTTTCCTCCCTTTCCTTGGCCAGCTTGGCTTGCTCCATTTCCTTGGCCATTCTGATGGCTTTCTCGGCTTCCTCCCTTTCCTTGGCCAACCTGCCTTTCTCAGCTTCCTCCATTTGCTTGATCATTTTGCTTACTTTCTCAGCTTCTTCCTTTTCCTTGGCCAACCTTGCTTTCTCAGTTTCCTCCCTTTCCTTCGCCATTCTGCTGGCTTTCTCAGCTTCCTCATGTTCCTTGGCCAACATGGTTTCATCCTCCAGTTCCTTGGCGACCCTGGCAAAATCAATTTCAAGCTCTCGCTTTGGAGATTTTCTGATCGCATCATCCTCGCGTTCCTCGAGCCCGACCTCACGCATGAGATGCTCCAACGTGGCATGAAAGCCATCCTTTGTACCTGTGATCGAAACAAACCAGAACATGTGCACACTGAAGCTGCAACAAAACGCGAGTCATGGATGTCCTTCTGTCTGCAAGTCAGCAGGTGGCAGATCGTACTGGGTCGGCTGGGCGTCCTGGAAACAGATATGGCGCGTATCGGAAACAGGATGGGTTTGGCGGGATTGAAGTCCTGGGAGGAGATGTCCATCTCGCAGCCGTAGAGCTGAGACTCGAGTTCTTTCATCAGGTCCTGCTCCTCTTGCGCGTCGATCGTGGCCTCCGTCTGCTGAGTGTCCTAGATAGGCGGCAGCATGTTTGTTTGCTTTTCTTCCAGTTCCCTGAGCCCGAATGGTCCTGCAGGAAGGTGTCCGAAAAGCCCTGCCCAGCCACTCCGCCAGCAGCAGCCCCCGCCCTCATAGCGGTGTTCAGAAGCCGCCCGAACTTCGCCGGGTCGTTCTCGGCTTCTCCCGAAAGAGCGTCAAGCTGCTCCAGCTTCACTCGCATGGGGTCGTTCGCCATGCCCTGGAATTCCAGGGCCGCCTACGGGAGCCCCTTCCCAAACACCTTGAATACAAAAGATGCTGCCATGCTGACATTGACCAACACGCAGCAACAGAAAGCGGAATGCAAAGATCCAAGCGAGCAGCAACCTAAAGCAATACATTTGAGCAACTTGGGGCAGCCAACCAAGGCAGGAAATTCAATTTTCATCCGCCGCGGGTGCACAGAGCGATCTATCGTCCATAGCGACGAACAATCTCTTCCAGATCTCCTTTGCCGAAGATTTCTCCCGATTCCGTGACATAGGTGAAGTCGTCCCCTCCCCAACGTCTCATTGTCTCCAGCTGCTTCACGAAGTGGTTGATCTCTTGTTGGGTATAGATCTTCGGAACCTCGGCGGCGGCTGAGCTCGAGACCGCCGGCTGTTGAAGAGCATCATCCTTTTCGGTCTTCTCGGGTGGCCGCGTCTTCTTGGGTTTCTCGGTCTTCGCATCATTTTTCGGCAGCAAGAAGCCTTTCTTCATGGTGTTGGAGGCAAGGGATCCAAAATCTCGAGCACCACCGGCTGCAGCATTGCGAACACCGCCTGGCTTTCGGTGATTCAGCTTCTGCAATCGGTGCTTCAGCTTCTGGCCGTACGAAAAGGGTGTTAATGAATTTGTGTGGCGTGGCGAGGTGCCAACGGCCGTTCTCTGCCTCCGGAGGGGTGGCGCAAAGCAGCCAAACCTTCACCTACTACTACAGCTTCTGCAAACACTGCTTGGCTTTCGGTGCTTCAGCTTCTGCAAACACTGCTTGGGTTTTCGGGGCTTCAGCTTCTGCAAACACTGCTTGGGCTTTCGGGGCTTCAGCTTCTGCAAACACTGCTTGGGCTTTCGGGGCTTCAGCTTCTGCATACACAGCACATAAATAGTTTATCAGTTTTGCAAGTAGATCTTTGCAGTCCTGGCATCCAGGACGGTAAATATAGCGGTTATGCAGTCCTGGCATCCAGGACGGTACGTATAGTGGTTATGGTCCGGTTATGGTTGTGACACTGCGTAGGTTTTCGTAGTGCTAGTACTAGTAGAAGAGCAGGGCCGGAGGAACGGCACCCCTGGCGCTAGGGGCCGGAGGATCGGCAAACCTGTACTAGTAGTAGTAGTAGTAGTAGTAGTAGTAGTAGTAGTAGTAGTAGTAGTAGTAGTAGTAGTAGTAGTATAGTAGTAGTAGTAGTAGTAGTAGTAGTAGTAGTAGTCGTATAGTAGTAGTAGTAGTAGTAGTAGTAGTAGTAGTAGTAGTAGTAGTAGTAGTAGTAGTAGTAGTAGTAGTAGTAGTAGTAGTGGTAGTAGTAGTAGTATTATAGTAGTAGTAGTAGTAGTATAGTAGTAGTAGTAGTAGTAGTAGTAGTAGTAGTAGTAGTAGTAGTAGTAGTAGTAGTATATAGTAGTAGTAGTAGTAGTAGTAGTAGTAGTAGTAGTAGTAGTAGTAGTAGTAGGAGTAGTAGTAGTAGTAGTAGTAGTATAGTAGTAGTAGTAGTAGTAGTAGCAGTATAGTAGTAATACTAGTAATGTTATAGTAGTCACAGCGGTTATTCAAGTCACGAGTAAGTCACGGGTAGTCACGGTAGCGATATATAAGTCCCAGCGGTTATTCAAGTCACGGGTAAGTCACGGGTAGTCACGGGTAGTCACGGTAGCGCTAGAGCTATATAAGTCCCAGCGGTTTTTCAAGTCACGGGTAAGTCACGGGTAGTCACGGGTAGTCACGGTAGCGCTAGAGGTATATAAGTCCCAGCGGTTATTCAAGTCACGGGTAAGTCACGGGTAGTCACGGGTAGTCACGGTAGCGCTAGAGCTATATAAGTCCCAGCGGTTATTCAAGTCACGGGTAAGTCACGGGTAGTCACGGGTAGTCACGGTAGCGCTAGAGTTATATAAGTCCCAGCGGTTATTCAAGTCACGGGTAAGTCACGGGTAGCAGCTGCGGCAGTGATCGTATAGTAGAGCGGCTGGAACCATGTTGTTTTCACAAACCTTTTTCGAATCCATGCGACAGCAGTCACAGGCCATCACTTAGCCCAGAACGGCACCACTGCAAAGCACCGCCCAAACCGAAGTCCAGCGCTGTGTCTGTCGCATGTGCCAGGATCTGGTCCTGCAGACACAGACGTGCAATCTAAAGGATAGGGTCGCTGGAAGCGTGGATGGATGTGCCTTCATTTGCTGGGGAGATAGATCTCCACTAGCTTTCCAAGCTTGGATTCGCCGCTTCATCCTAGAGCAGTTCGGGACTCACTGCACAATGCAGATATAACACCACAGGAGTTAACATGAAGAGTGTCCCTTGCTTTCTCGTTTCACGACGATGGCTCACCCACCAGCCAGCCAAGACCTGACCAAACCTGTGCGGATGCAGAATCGGCGTTAGTTGCAGTACTGAGCAACAAGCATAATCAGGTAGGTGAGTTGCAGCACTTGCCTCTTTGGGTATTCTTGACTCTTTTTGAGGCCAGGTCCTCCATGGACCTTTTCCAGTCCAACCGCGTTTTTGTACCTCTGGGGCAGGTCAACAAGTATGGTTCATCGCATCCAGAAAATCACTTGCAACCAGGACACCGGATCGTTACACCGTCATCGGTACTGCGTGATCTGCGAGGCGAACCGTTTCGAGCCGCCTCCTTGAAGGTGGACATAAGGTCGTATGTAGAATAAAGCCAAACCGGCTTCTGGGACGGAGCCCCGAAATCACCCAAACAAATGGGATGCCTGAGAAGGGCTGTTCCTTCAAAGCCGTCAGCTTCTCGGTCAAGCAGGAATTGCACCACTGCTTGGATGGATGGGTAGATCTCTAGTTTGCTGCATCTTGGATTTCCCAGCGTAACCCAGCAACCCTTGCACCAGGCCAAAAGCATCAAAGCAGATGTAATCTCTGCCAGTTGTGAGCCTTCACGTATATACTCCTTACTTTCGTCGCCCAAAGGATTGAAACTAGTGCGTTGATGCGTTCCACTGTTGGTCCAGCAAAAGCTGGTGCAGACTGTGGCAAAGTGCGCCAAACCTCCTGGCTCCAGAGCCAGGATGGAAGCAAAGCAGAGAACGATGCCGGGAGGGTGGAGCATATCATGCATTTGAGAACCTGAGTGGCCAAACTACATCAGCAGCAAGAGGATCAGCTGCGTGGCACAGTTGATCATGCGTCTTGAAATTACAGGCAACGATTGAAGTCCATTGCCTTGGCGTTGTATCCCTGGGCAGAGAAGGCCGTAGCTATGGACGCCACACCAGCAAAGAATTCCACACACTGCAAGCAACCTGGGAGGTCCTGCAGAAGGCAATCGGCACACACATGAAAGAAAGATCTACAGACACTCAGCCATCGAGAGCCTGAATGAGCCCATTCTCCATGTTTTGCAGGATGAGTAGGTATAAGGTCATTTCAAGGATGACCTGAGGCAGTACGACTTTCCAATGCAGAAGTATCTATCCGAATCACACGGATGGCAGCTAAGTGATCGACCCATGGAATGCCAAGGTGGAGCAACCCGTGCAGCTCTCGAAGCTGCAGCACATCCAGCTTCTCCAAGAAGCGGGACAGGCTTCCAACGTTGGGCACATACGGCATTGTCCATGCACAGATATCCACACAAGCTGCATTGAGCATAATGAACATTGCGGAAGTGTGCGTCTGTCAACACTGAATTGAAAACGACACACTAACAATGGGTCACTCGGGGGCCGATGGCGCAGCAGCCAGGGAGCCGGAGGCAAGTTCGGCATCTCGACCTGCACAGACGCTGGCTGCAGAACACATGTAAGCACGGACATAGTGGAGCAAGCAAAGGACGATTTTGACCGTAGCTCAGAAGTAACGTATCGAAACACCATTGCGATGTCGGCCCGGTTCATATACCGATCTGGAAGGCCGGCTCCAGCACAGGGGCCGCTTGCTCAGTCATCGGATTTCAAGGCAGAGCTCCGGAGACTTTCCAGGCATGTGATTTCGAGACTGCTTCCTCCTCCGTGATTTTCTTATCGTTGAGCTGTTGCATGATTTGCGTGGAGATATCCATGTCCTGGAGTTCCAGGCAAAGCTTGCATATTGGCACGTGAGATGCATGAACCGGCAAAGTTCTGTCCTTTGTCTGAAAGAGCTGCTTTTCTTTGGTACCCTGCAGCGGATGCAACACGGACAGAGATTGAACCAGCCAAGTCCAAGGGGCCTCCGTTCTCCGCATCACGGCCCACTGCACATTCTTGGTACCGTCGTTAGCCGGCCGGGTGTTCTTCTTCAGAGCGTACACCTGACGAGAAGTCATAGCTAGGCTGGTTCAAAGACCGATGCCCCAAATGAATCTCGCCTGCTTCGCTTTGTCCTTCGCTTTTGCCTTGCCCTTTGCAGCGGCCTCCGCTCTTTTTTGAGCCGCCAGCTTCTGCTGATCGGCTTGAGTGACATGAGCAGGAGCATGTTCACGCAAATCGTTCCCAATGTCCTTGGGCGGTGGGGCTGCAGCGGGGATAGAGGAAGCAGATCCATGCAAGGCATGATTGAGCAAGGCGGCAGCCACGTACGGTGGCTCTGGTGTGTATGCCTGCAGCTAATGTGAACCCATGCTTTCACGAAAACACAATCTTAGCACCAGCACAGTATTTCGACAACATGGAAAGCAAGGTTTTAAAGCTAGCCAAAGGCACCTTTTCCCGGGAAACATCCGGGTCGCGGGAGCTGGATTTCGAAGGGGCGCTGGAACTTGCCGCAGAGCCTTCCGTTCTAGCTGAGGAATTAGGGACCTTGATTGGCAGCACCGGTGGCATATGTGAACGATGCAAGCAGACATGTATTAGTAGATGGATCGATGCAATCCTAGCCATGAATTCAACGCCTCAACCATTATGCAGACACTTGCGCGCTATATGCGTACAAGGCACGAAAGCTGCAAGCGGAGTATCGTCGTCCAGGATTTCTATGGTGCCGCTTTGGAGGTTTTGCAGAATCTTCCTCCTGGGCAAGCAAAGTAACAAAAGATGCCAGGGGTTTAA